TTGTGTGACTCACACTGTCAAGAGGAAAAGCAAACCGAACATCTATGACGTCAGGTCAGACCAGAATCCTTAAAGCAGAGAAAAGGTAGCACAAACAATCAGTCTCAGAATATTAGTCGTTCACTAGAAAGTTGGTTTAGTTGATTATGTTTAGCAACATATCAATCTCAATGGGTTGTTTAATGCTGAAATGTAAATATTTTCAACACAACTGTATGCCATCAACTACAGATAAAATGTATTGTTGGTAATTCTACTATAAAATATATTACTGGTCATTTTGTGTCCTGGGTATGACGATAATCTATATCCACGTCCTGGGTAAGACGATAAACTATGTCCAGCAGCAAGGCTTCTGATCAGGAGGTTTTGAGTGTGGAACAACCTTTTAATTGCTGGTGTTCCCAGGTCCACCATGACCTGGGGTGGTAGCACCTGTTAGGGTCCCAGCTATGGGCAAATAGTTAACACCCAAACTTGTGTAAAAATAGGTTTTAATACCAGAAATACTTTGTAATAAAAAAAAATTATTACCAGTAATAAGTTTTGAAGGAAAAATTATTATCAGCAATACAAACAGTTATATATTCTTTGAAAAAAATTTGACCAGCGAGATTTCTTCAAGGAAAACCATTCCCAGAAATAGGTTTTTGAAACATATTGCCAGCAATAAAAATGTTGTCGGCATTAAATAACCCATTGAGGTTGATATGCCGTAAAACAAAATAAACCAAACCAATCTAAACCAAAGAATACATATTCTATTCATAAGAATCTATCCTAAAAATGTTGTTGGTATTAAATAACCCATTGAGGTTGATATGCCGTAAAACAAAATAAACCAAACCAATCTAAACCAAAGAATACATATTCTATTCATAATGAATCTATCCTAAAAATGTTGTTGGCATTAAATAACCCATTGAGGATGATATGCCGTAAAAACAAAATAAACCAAACCAATCTAAACCAAAGAATACATATTCTATTCATACGAATCTATCCTAAAAATGTTGTTGGCATTAAATAACCCATTGAGGTTGATATGCCAGAAAACAAAATAAACCAAACCAATCTAAACCAAAGAATACATATTCTATTCATAATATATATCCTAAAAATGTTGTTGGCATTAAATAACCCATTGAGGTTGATATGCAGTAAAACAAAATAAACCAAACCAATCTAAACCAAAGAATACATATTCTATTCATAAAATCTATCCTAAAATGTTGTTGGCATTAAATAACCCATTGAGGATGATATGCCAGAAACAAAATAAACCAAACCAATCTAAACCAAAGAATACATATTCTATTCATATGAATCTATCCTAAAATGTTGTTGGCATTAAATAACCCATTGAGGTTGATATGCCGTATAAACCAAACCAATCTAAACCAAAGAATAAATTCTATTCAAAATATATCCTAAAAAATGTTGTTGGCATTAAATAACCCATTGAAGCCGTAAAAACAAAAATAAACCAAACCAATCTAAACCAAAGAATACATATTCTATTCATAAGAATCTATCCTAAAAATGTTGTTGGTATTAAATAACCCATTGAGGTTGATATGCCGTAAAACAAACCAAACTGGTCATTTTGCTATAAATATGCATTGTTAGTAATTTTAGTATAAAATGCATTTTTATACTTTCATAGGGTTTTGTTTTTATTTGGGGGTTTATTACTCTCCCTTAGCTGGGGATATATTAATACTATCTATATTGTTAAACTTGTGATAAAGCCTGTCTGGATAGAGCGTTTTTAAACACGAAATCCACTTATTGTCATGGCACTCTTAAATCTTTCTAATGTTATCTGCTCTGAACTAATATATAATGTTATTACTAAAGAATTATTGGATTTATTTTTAACATGACAGTTTTATTACTTCAAACATTATTAATGGATACTACATATTTGAAACAGACCCCACCCCCGATTCTAATTTATTAAACACTGTGTATTATGCCTGTTTTAGTGCATTTTCAAAATTCTAGTAAAGAAAAATGTGTTCCCCGGCAAGAATTGAACCTGCATACCACTTTGTGGGAAAAAAACGCTACCACTTAGCGTGTGTTGGCTAAGACGATAAACTACATCCGTGTCCTGGGTATGACGATAAACTACATCCGCGTCCTGGGTATGACAGGTGCTACCAACTTGGGTCAGGGTGGGCCTGGAACAATGGTAATTAAGAGGTGGTTCCACACTCTTCAGAACCTCCAATCTCTCAATCTGAGGCTTTGCTGCTGGATGTACTCATTAAAATGAACATTAATTTTATCACCACTCTTTGAATATCATATCTTCAGACAATTTATATACAAGACTTAGACTGGTGGAAATTCCATGGGTATTGACAAATAAATGAGGAAAAAGACAGGAGCCAACAGATCTGTAATTCTACAGAAGACTGTTGGGAATACCATGGATGAAGCGCATAAGTGTAAAGGAAAATGGAAGCAAAAAGGTAATTTATATTTAGAATCAGAAAAGAGACACCTGAAATTTCTGAGACACATAATTAAGTATTTCAGATACCAAAGCGAGCAGATATGAAGCTTTTGAGAAAATAATTTGAGGTGAAGGAGATGTACTTTCCTTAAATAAGGAGAACAGAATTTTGCTTGCTGTTAAGTTCTTCAAGGCTAAGTGGTAGTTTGGGTTGGTTTGTTTTACAGCATATCAACACCTCAATGGGTCATTTAATGCCGACAACTTTTTTTTTATGGTAATATTTTTGTTTTGTCAAAAATCTATTTCTGTTAATATTTTTTCTCAAAAATGTATAGCTGGTAATATTATTTTTTCAAAAAAGTATTATCAGAGGCCTTACTGTTGGATGTAGTTTATCATCATACCCAGGACACGGATGTAGTTTATCATCATACCCAGGACACGCTAAGTGGTAGTGTTTTTCTCCCACAAAGTGGTACACAGGTTCAATTCTTGCCGGGGAACACATTTTTCTTTACTAGAATTTTGAAAATGCACCAAAACAGGCATAATACACAGTGTTTAATAAATTAGAAGGAGGGGGGTCTGTTTCAAATATGTAGTATCCATTAATAATGTTTGAAGTAATAAAACTGTCATATTAAAAATAAATCCAATAATTCTTTAGTGATAACATTATATATTAGTTCAGAGCAGATAACATTAGAAAGATTTTAGAGTGCCATGACAATAAGTGGATTTCGTGTTTAAAAACGCTCTATCCAGATGGGTTTTATCACAAATTTAACAATATAGATAGTATTAATAAATAACCCCACAAATCAGGACCTACCCACATTTCTCACCAACACAAGACAGACATGCTTACGGAGGTGTTGAGGCCTCACACTTATACACACATCATACCCACTCACTCCCTAATGAGCCAAATGATAACACACACCCAAATTAATATATACACACTTGCTTACATCACATTCACTCCCTAAGAACCAAATAATACACACACTTAACAGAGACACATCCCCTTTCCAGGAACCAATAAAACTATCAAACTGACCAAGGGAATTCAGAGACTGTTTAACCAACACAAGGACTAACCAAAATTCATGTTAAAAAAATAAACAAACAAAAGTTAATTTTCTCCATCAAGACATTCATTTCTGTAGATTTTTATATTAATATATTTGGGGCTTGGAACAAGTTAATTTATGGGGAAAATTGTTCCGACATATGAAATTTCTAGTTATGAATCCACTCCTGGAATGGATGCTATTTGTAGGTTGAGGTTCCACTATATATATATATATACACACACACACACATATTAGACATAAAATATTTGGAAAACCAATGTTCCTGCTACTGTAGTTTCTACCAATCAGGTACTGTCAGGCATTATATATATATATATATATATATATATACACACACACACACACACGTACATATATATATATCTATAAGACTATCGTTCATTCATGCTTAGAATATTGCTGCTACATATGGTCCAGTGCCCCTGCTATTTACCTTGAGCTACTTGATAAAATTCAAAGAAGAATCAGCAATATTATTGGTCCTGATCTGGCATCTCAGCTTCAGTCACTTTCTCACCACCATAAGGTTGCCTCCCTTTGCCTTTTCTATAAATACTTTCATAGTAATTATTCGGATGAGCTCTGTTATGGTACTAGACTTTTTGAATTTAAGTGCAGTACTAGATTGGCATCAAGATCTCATCAATTTACAGTTCAGCTGGTTAGCTGTAGCCGTAAATTCTATGCTAAGAGTTCTTGCACTTCTCACTTGTGGAACTCCCTTCTGGCTCAATGCTTTCCAGCCAACTTAAATCTCCAAAAATTTAAATGCTATGTCAATCACTATCTACTGTCTCCCTGATTACTCTTTCCTCTTCCTGCTCATTATCAATGTTTCTGTTCCTAAATCTTCCACACCCTGTAACCCCTTGTGTCTTAGTGGCTTCACTGCCTTCCATGGAATGATACCAATTATATATATATATATATATATATATATATATATATATTTGTGAAATGGATTGTATCTGACAGATTTTTTAGGTTATTTGTTAAAATGTTATTTTTTTAAAATGGATATTCATATTTGAGTAGATGCTCTGTTTTGATTTATTTATTAAACAGTATATTCATGTATTTACATTTTATATATATATATATATATATGAGACAAAGCATAAAAAAATGTTAAAAAAATTTAACAAAATATAATGAAAGGTGAAACATTTAACAAGTATAATATTGTGTTAACAGATATGAAAAGATGAGGATATACATCAATGCAAATAATTCCTTGCACTTTAGAAACTTCATGTGAAAGAAAACTCTTCCAAGTTTAAATTTAATGAAATCCGCCTTCAATTTACACCAGTGCTGCTTCCTTTGGACTTTTGGTAGCAGTTTATTAAAGAAATATTGTCAGTTAGTCAGTCACCTGGATGAACTGGTGTGAAGTATATTCAGGCTCCGTTTTCAAGTGAGGATGGTAAAAACACTTAATCAATCTTGCTGTTCTCAATCTGTCTTGTGTAAGGCATGTATGCTTTGAAGCTAAAATCAGATTGTGGAAAGCAACCCTGGAAAAAAAAAAAATGACAAAAGAAAAATGGTGAGACAGAGAAGTACTAGAAAGAGGAAAACGTCAAACAACTACATCCTGACCCCAAAAAGAAGAGGTATTGAGAAAAATTTCATGGGAAAATTAGCTCAGGGGGAGGTGTTGTAATGGAATGTCCCACACTCCTTATCGCCTATCTGGGCTGATTATATCAGTAGATATATATAGTAAGCACAGGATATACCTGGTGGACTTGCTTCGGGAATTACTAGCCTGCTAACCGATTCCCCGTCTTTCAGTAGTGTATTCTCTTTTACAATAAACCTCTCTTTCTTTAATCTACACCTGTGTTGCTGTTCCTTTCACTTGAGTACCTTTGTCTGTTTGTAACCTTCTTTAAGAATACGACAAAAAATTATTAAAAAAATGTTTTTTGATTGATGTTTCAGATAATTTCAGCTTGTGCTTCATCAATCATAAAAATGCTCTGAAGATGGCTGACAAACACCTGAAAAAGCAAATTTTTCTCATTACGTTGGGAGATACACTATTTACATTATTTTGACTATTGTCCTCATCTTTGTCGCCATATTTATTACAATGTTTTGGCCATTGTGCACTCTGGCCTTCTTCAGGTGGTTGGAATGTCGAACCGAACCCTTTATTTCGCTTGCTGGGGTAGACTGTTCTAGTTCCACGTGCCATGTTTAATGGATGTCAGTTATCAGTTAATTCCCCTCTCCAAGTTCTCCACTGCCTTACCCGGGTATTGAACTAACACTCTTTGGGTTTTGTCACTGGATCTAACTAACGCCTTTATCCATTGTGCCATGTGTCCTCAAGGAAATGATGTAATAAATATGGCGACAAAGATGAGGACAATAGTCTGAATAATGTAAATAGTGAACATAATAACTCATCTCAGAAATATAGGCGGATATGTTGGGAGATATGTAAACTTTTTAGAATATGGATATAAACATTACCTAATCTATTGCATAACAATCTGATTCCTGTATCTTTGTTACTATAACCTATAAAAAAGGCACATCGTAAGCACAATTTTTGTTAACAAATATTGTAAATTAAAGCGATCAGGCCATTGGTTACTCTTAATTAAGTAGAAATTGGAGGAAATTTAAAAAAAAAAAAAGTACAGACTGCTTGGCTCAGGGACTGAATTCACAATTACTGTCACCAAAGTAAGACAACAGCCTAGTGAATTAAAGTGTTGATTCTTGAATTTAGTGACAGTAATAACAACACAACAAAGATTATGACAACAGTCTGTAAGTAAGACATTTCTTAGTTAACCATTTTATCTGTTTCAAGTGTTGATTCTTGAATTTAGTGACATAGTAATGACAACACAACAAAGATTATGACAACAGTCTGTAAGTAAGACATTTCTTAGTTAACCATTTTATCTGTTACACCTTATATATAATAAACTAGCTTAAAAGCCCTCTCTATTGGGAGGCATTTAAGCTAGCTCCTGCGGAGGACTCTTGATTGGGCCTTTGGCTTGTTCAGGAATTTGAATGTCCCTAAGTCTTTGCACATTCACAGTACTGAAAGCTCTCCTAACTGCCATTTGATCTCGGTTTTCATTTGCATGGGACTTTCTTTTCCTCGCTGAAGCGTTGGCTATTTTGTTTACAATCTGGTCCTCTGTTGGAAGAGATTTCCTTTTGTGATGCATTTTTCTGCTGTATGCATTATGCAACAATAAACTACAGAAAATTGATCACTGCATTTAAGTATTGCATTAATATTTAAGCTTACCTTTTAAAAGTTCAATGATAATTCTTCTGCCGCCACTTAAGTTAAAGACAATTTGATGTATGTAGGTCCTTACTTTCTGTACAAACAATTATTTTTAGTTCATCGGTGACTTTCGCTGGATTTTGCAATTAATTTTGATTATTCCCAGATTTATTTCCAATTTATAAAAATTGTTATGCCAAAAATTTTGTTGCAAAAAAATCATGTAAAAAAAAAAAAAAAAAATCACCAAAAACAATCACAGTAATGAAAACATAGGGAATACAAAATATTAGGAATGCGGGTCCAGATCCAGCCCCAAATGTTTTTTTTAATATGCTCATAGAGTCAGCCTGATTCCAAAATGGTATGGTATGTTGGGCTATGGCCTCTAGGAGTAAAGTTGAAAAAGCGTGACACACTGACACTGACATTTATTTATATAGAAGTTATGTGAGATTACTTTTCAAGAAGACTTCAGAATCTCCTGCATCTCTTCTGCACGGTTTAAGTTGGTGAATGCTATCATAATCCTTGCCTTCAGTTCATCTTTGGCGTTACAAGGAGTTTTGTTGCTCTCTTGCTCAACTGCACCCCACACAATAATCAAGGTGGTTTCAGTCTGGGGAGTTAGGTGGCCAGATGTAAGGGGTGATACAGTCGCAGAAATTGTCTGACAGTCATGACTGGGTTCCCTTGCTTGTGTGGCATGGCGCAGAGTCCTGCTGCCAGACATAAGGCCCCCCAGCAGCCACCCTCTTGACCCAGGGCAGCACTACCTCGCAAACCACTTGTAGGCTTCAGTATTGAGTCTGAGTCCCTCACCTTGATGAGATAAGGCTTTCTTTGATTTTCGCCAACTTTAGGTCAGGTTAAATTTAATTTGCCCTTTTTCAATTGATACTTTATACTGTACAGAATAAATTATTTAAAATGGATCTTTGAAAAGAATAACTTGAAATAAAAATATGTTCTTTGAAAAACAGGGCATACAAGTCATTAGAGATTTTTAAATTATTTACAAAATTAAAGCAAGAAATACGTTGAATATTAAATGTTCCCAGTTGAAATAGCCTGACTAGCTATGTTAATTTTATTTCATTCTTCCTGTACTTTTTTTTTCTTTTTTCTCACTTCTTAAATATGAACAATATCAATGAAATTTTATTTTGATCAATATCTTGAGACATGAAGTTAAAAACAATTAATTTTGGATCCAGCTGAAGTCAAGAATGAAAACGATGCAGTATGAAAGATTTTTGTTGCTTTGAAATAGATACACTTGAATGTTGACTGACTTGGGCTAAGCCCAACTGTCAGAGTCACTACTTATATATATATATATATATATATATATCCAGATGGGCAGTCCCCTTGGCCCTGCATTAGCTGATATTTTTGTGGGCTACCATGAAATGTTACTTTTCGGCAAAGTGTCTAAACCATTTGTTTACGTTAGATATGTCGATGACACCTTTGCAACATTCTCTAATAAAAGTGAGGCTGTTGAGTTCTTTAATGAGCTCAACTCCTTACACAATGGTTTGTCTTTCACTATGGAAGGGGAGAAAGACAACTGTCTGCCTTTTTGGATGTTTTTGTTGAACGCAGTAGAGGTGGTTTTATTACTAGCATTTATCGTAAACCCACCTTTTACTGGACTTTATTTGAATTGGCGCTCATTTGCTCCTGCATCAAGGAAAATTAATCTTGTTTATAGAGCGCTTAAAGTGTGTTCCCTATTAGATTGGACCGTGAATTTGGGGAACATTAGGGAGATTTTCCTTAGTAACGGCTATCCGGAGGCCCTTATTGACTACATTATAAGTAAGAAAACTAAGGAATTTCATTCCCCAAAATCCAGGGGCCTTCTAAATGTCCGGTTTATTTGAAGATTCCCTGGATTGGGGATAGTGGTCAGGGCTTAATTAAGCAGGTTAGCAAGTTGGTTTCGGTTGTTTCCCATCAGTTGCTTTACGTAGCATTTTTCAAACTAGGTCTGCGTTTCCGCTCTTTTTTAAGGATGTATTGCCCTACATCAAATTGAGTAATTTAGTATATGAATTTAATTGCCAGTGTGCTGCTGGTTATGTGGGGGCATACAACCTTGCATTTGGAAACTAGAATTAATCAGCACGTTCCTTCCAAAATACGACTTGGTAAGATAGATAGAATATGCTATCTTCCCCCATGAATATGGAATCGCTATTGCTCAACATTTAGTTGAGAATATAGCTTGTGCCAAGTTGTATAAAAAGAGTGGTTTAGAATTATTCATACAGCCATTCCAATAACTATTTGAAGATTTTGGAATCGGTCTGTATAGGATTTAGAAAACCTTCTCTCTGCCAGCAGAAAGAATTTATAAGGTCTCTGAATCTGTTGGGGGATATTTTATTTTAACTGTCCCTCGCTATTTATTTACACGATAACCCTTCCCTCGTTACAAGTATATATACTTGTTCGTTATTTTAGTGTGTTCCCCCCTCTTTTTTGCTCTTCAATATCGCTATTATTCATTTCGCTAATCCAACGATTGTCTCCTGATAAGATGTTGGCTGAAAGGGCTCTAGAGACTTTTAATATTAAAATCAATGGTTTCCTAGTTTTTAAAACTATATATATATATATATATATATATATATTACACACACAAACACACTAATTTCCACATAACTTGACACTGATAATTACAGTTCTAGGTAATTGCTTAAATGTCATTATAACAAGCTGAAAATTTAACTCTTGATGTTTTACCAGGCATAGACAGAATTTCAGATAGTTTGAAGCAGTTGGGTGAAATTTTTACCTAATGTATATAAAGTTAGGTTGGTTGATTTTATGTCAGCATTTGTTGGGTTATTTGATGTCAAATTTTTGTATGGGGCACCCAGTGCGGATCAAACTCCCTACTCAGTTGTAATAGTCAACCAGATTAGACTCGAAGTGCGATTTAATTAGGCTGGTTGATTTTATGATGTGGCAACTCTTGATGGGTTATCTAATGTCACACTTTGTATAGGGCACCCAGTGAGGATCAAACATTGTATTCAGTAGTAATAGTCAACCAAACTAGCCTCACTAACTATTACCCAACACCAATGCGCCTATTTAGTTAGGATGGCTGATTTTAAAATAAGCTAACCCTTTTTGGCTTACTTCCTGTCAAATTTTGTATGGTCAACCAGACTAGATTTGCTACACATTATCCCATGCAGAGGAACCTATTTAGTTTAAGTTGTTTGATTTTATGACATGTCAACCCTTTGGTTATTGACAAAATATTGAATGGGGCACTCGATGAGGTTGAAACCCACTACTCAGTAATAGTGGTTAACCAGACTAACCTCATTAATACTCTGATGCTGAAGTGCCTTTATATACTTGGGGAGTGTTTTCTAGCTGAGACAGTTGTACATTTCCAACACTGCCAGAGGTCAGGGTTCAAACATAGTAAAGAATTTTGAATGCTGATTTTTAAGTTTGATTGATTCATTTTCTACAGCTTAACAACTCTTTGCAGGTTATTTAAAGCCAGGTTGTAGGAATTTTTTTTGAGATAATAATGATACAGGTCTTACTAATTAACCCATAGCTAGAGGGAGATGAGGTGGATTCATACCTAACCAGAATTTGATAAACAAACAAGAAATGGTAATGTGGATATAAAGTGGGGGATCAATTCTGTATTACGATCAAGATATAAACTGACCCCTCACTTTGTGGCCACGGTAATTTCTGTACATTTATATTCCAGAGAATGTAAATAAATCTAAAAGATATGCCTGTGTAGATAATCAGTATTTGATTGATTCATTCATTTTCTGTGGCTTACCATTATTATTTAAAGCTAGAAAATATATTTTTATTTTTAGATAGTAAGAATTTTTTTTCAGGATATAACACACACACACACATAGGGTGTCCATAAAGTTCGTGTGCATTTTAAAAAAATTTATAACTTTATTTGTATTTGCAATAGAAATAATTCGTAAAAAGGATTAGAAAGCAGTAAATCTATATTTTCTAAGGTTTTATTGAAATTTTATTTAAGTTTCCACATCTCCTCCATCATTAGCAATACAAAGAGTAATACGATTTTGAAGTTCACGGAAAACATTTGCCAACTGATTTACAGTAATGCCTGAAAATCACATTAGTTATTTTAGCTATACTTAAAACTAGGTACATTAACTTTGTAACATTTTTTACAGATTATTTCTATCGCAAATACAAATAAAGTTATAATTTTTTTAAAGTGCACATGAATTATATGGATGTCCTGTATATGGTATTCCCAAGCTGTCTCTCATTTAGGTACTGACCTGCCTCGATGTTGCTTAACTTCAGTAATTGCATGAGAACTGGTGTTTCAATGTGATATGACTGTAAGCTCATTACACTATCCACAGATATGACTGTAACACTATCCACAGATCCAAGCTTACAACATCTGCATAGCTTAATACAATAAATTTTCATTAATTTTTTTGAAAAATTAAATTTTATTATTTAATATACAAAATACTCCCACTGTTTTAAAAACAATTTAATGATTAAAATAAATACTTATTTAATAAAAATGCAATTTTTTTTTGTATATCTTTTTCTTCAAATTTTTATATTTCATATATATATATATATATATATATATATATATATCTCCTGTGACTGCTGTTAACCTGTCCATCACACCCTCTAAAATAGTCATACATTGACCGATCAAAACCATATTAAAAAAATATTGTTTATCATGAAGTCCTATAAATTAAATCGAAGAAATTATTAAACTGCAACGTAGATCAATGTTGGCTACTCAATTACTGCTTCATATTTTGCTGCTAACAGATACATACAGAAAAATTTAATAAAAAAAAAGAAAATAATGATGATGATCTCTACAACTAAGCAGGTGTCTCCCAAATTACAACTTAAATATCCTTTTAGTCAATCATTCCATAATTGTAATGGCTTTAAGCAGAAGTATTATATTGTTATGGGACCTTACCCATAATAACATAATGGACTATTCTATACGTAATAAATACTGCGCCTCAAGAGGAAGCAGGGAGTTCAGTCTGAAGTCTGGAGTGAGGTCCATCAGGAGTGTGTCAGTCAGAGCGAGCGAGTCAGTCAGTCGAGTCAGTCCGACACAGAGTCATGTTCAGACAATTACTACTAAACCTGATTGTTCGTACTAACACTTTCTACTTCTCTGTATATATTCCTGTTTGTAATATATCTGTGTTATTCCATATCCGTGTTCGAGTTCTTCTTTATTGGTTCTACCTTGGACTATCAACGTGGTACAAAGAACCGGACCATAACATATATGAATTGGCAAATTACTATGAATAAATATAAAACATTTTCATGTGTAAGACAAAAGTAAAAGCAAAGATCTTACCGGATTCATAATCATGCAGTCAACTGATGTAACCGTAAATTCATCGTATTTGTCTGCAACTACGAGCAGGTCAGGCAGGGGATAGAGGTGCATGCCGCAGTCATAAGCCCAGTAAATGGGGCAGACATGGAGAGGCAGTGGGCACAGGTGACTCTGACAGATCACAGTTTTGGCAAACTAAAAGAGAAAAAAAATAAGGAAATGCCACAATGAAAACGAAGCAACATTATGAAGAGAAAATAGAAAATGGTCAACACCTCTAGAAGCAATAAGCAGATATCATTGTGCATTTTAAACGCCGTTAATATTAGCAGAACATAGCCCTGAGCACCAGACCAGATATGGCAGCAGTATTCATTGCATGGACAAAAAAATCTCTTTACAATTTAAAAATATATTACAAAGGCAATTGATGAGATATCTTAATCAGATTTGTTCTATGTCCTCAGTAGTTATCAAAGTTTTTAATCATATTGCATTTGTGTATCCTGTTGATGAAAGAGGTACTGTTAAAATGAAGCCCTAAAAAATGGCTAATCAAGAAAAGGCACAATGTGTATCATGGTTTATTGAAACAAAATCGGATACACAGACTCAGTGTAACTACAGAATTTCTTTCTATGGGGTTATATTATAAGATAGTGTGTATCGAACAAAGATACGGAACACCACTGGTCTAAACAAAAGATCACTGATGCTATTGTCATAAATAATGAGGCTATGCTATAATCAATATAGCAAGAAATTGAGTACCATCTTGATGTTCTTCATGCAACTAATGGTGTCCATATAGAAGTATATTAAAAACAAATGTCAATATCTACTCCTCATTTTATAACAATTTACACATTTGCTTTTGTAATGATTTTTTTAAATCGTAAAGAAACTTTATGGACAGACACCCTGTATATACACACACAAATGAGATTAGTTGTACAAAAGCAAATCGGCACTAATACGAAAAAAACAAAAAACTGGCAACTGTGAAAAAAGTTGAATAATAATAATAATAATAATAATCAACATACATATAACTTCAAATGAATATAATAATCATAATATATAATAATAATAGCTGGCCACTCGTATTCAAGGATACCTGTCTACTAGGGTGGCTAACCAATCCCTATTGCAGACTCTCGCTGAGGCACATTTGTGTTTGTTCAACACCCACAGAGCCACAATGGCTTATACTGCAACTACAGTTTCGGGGAGAGAGCATATTACCTAGAATGATAAACAATCTGAACAACACCAGCACACTCAAGCTCTCAGTCATGATGACTTGTGACTTCATGCTAGCACAGTTATCGGCAGCCCCTAGTGTTCCATTTACCCAATTTCACACACAAGGCTTGGGTCAAATCATGGCATGGTTTTCAGGCACTTTCCAAAGGTGCTACATGCTGAGATCATCCCCAATCCAAACTGATAAATCTCGACCATGGTGAGATTTGAACTCGGGTTTCACGGTCAGAGAGCGAACATTCTAACCACTCAGCCATGCTCCCATATAATCATTATATATATATATATATATATATATATAAGAGAAAATAAAAATAAAAGAAATAATAATTGTAAATTATATTAACTTATTACTGTTAAGCAACATTTGTTTTTCAGTTAAACTTAATATCCACCTGTTTGTCTTGCTTTTACTTTGTTTTTGCTTACCTAAAGTTATATTTATCAAAACTGCATTTTCTGTTCTTGTTCATTTTTATGAATTGATAGTTTAAGTGTTAGTGCTGTCAAAAAGGTAGTATAAATTATTTTATTGCATGTTAAATTACGACTTTATAATCTCTAGTATTTTAGGCTTAAATCCCGATTTATATTTTCATTTTTCTTTCTGCTATTTTTTCTAAAATTAACCAACTTTTCGATATTTGTGTTTGTTTATGTACCATTTTGTAATTTGTCTTGCTTTCTACACATTTTGTTTACCTAACGTTTTATATATTTAAAAAAAATAACAAAAAAACAATGTTAATTTTTTAGTAGCTTCTAAAACATAATGTATATAATGTTTATATACATACATTATATATGTTCTAAAAGTTGTCATACCCAGGGATGATAGTGGGGACAAGGTCCCACTGTCTAAAATGCTTACATGGCATGCGTCTCAAATAGCCTCTGACAACTAAGTCCAGCTCGAAGCCGGAGAATGGGTGAAGATGGACAACTGGTGCCTCATAACCAACTGCACAGGGGTTAATGGAGCTCAAAAGCCCAGGAAGGAAAACTTTGATTTTAAACCTTCACTGCCTTGTAGTCATATCCGAACATGGTGAAGACTATGGAAGTGAATGTAGACAATTTCTGCCAACTCTTGTAATCAAGACAACTCCAAATGTAATGCACTGTATTCCTTGGGATCTTGTCAGTACAAACTAGAAAGGGGGGGCATGTAGCCTGGGCAGTGCACAGCCTCCATATACCATCATCTGGGTCTGTGCCCTGGAGAGGTCACTCCAATCTCACCGCCATATTCACCATTCTGTCAGATTCTCATATATATATATATATATATATATATATATATACACACACACACACACACACATACACATATATATTACAGCAAAAAAAAAAAAAAAAATTACCTAAGCATCTATGTTGAGGTAATTTTTGTTTTTTGCTGTTAAGAATACATATGAGCTGCTAAAATAAAAACATTAAGCTTTCTGTGGATCCGTTTTAATAATTAATATTACTAAGATCCACCCGGATTATATACCAACAGATCGATTACCTGTATTATATATATATATATATATAAAGTTTTTATATAATTTATCATCTGAAAAGAAAAAAAATTATTAGATCGCATGAGAAATTGTATAAGACTAAATAAAAGCACCTTGTCTGTCGTATTCAATGAAATGTGCATGAAAGAAAGATTGCTGCTTAAATACACACACACATTATATATATATATATATATATATATATATATATAAAAAATACACATACATTCACACATAAATTATGACAATAAATACATACATGTGTAGGTACATCTCCAGATGCAGGAAAATGGATGCAGTTTCGACATAATTTTGTGACAATATCTTCTCGAATTATGACAATCTCTTGTGTGCAGTACTGAATACGGCAAGGGTTGCTGGTGAAAATAGCATTCGGGACTTTCTTGCGGAACTCTTCAGTTATGGAGTTAGGAATAGCTGGACTATTAAGAAAGAAAAAATAATGAATACCAAAATGTAAGTGTTGGAAAGTCAAACAATTTTTTTTTATGTAATATTTCAGAATAAAACATTTAGATTACAATCAGCAAGTGGTGCTTCATGGATTAAAATAGTCTCTAAAATCATCATTAATATGTACAGTTTTAAGAAAAATGTTTATCATTCCATGAAAGGTTTTGACAACTGAGCTTATTGTATTGATTTTATTGTTACTACAAAGTTTCAGCCAATCCATTATGTAACCTGGTATAAGATCTGCAATGTTCAGAGAAAGTCATTTTTTTTCAGGTTGTTTCCAGCAGATATGTAAACAAACAAAATGGAGGAGTTAAAGACAAAACAAAAATTATACCAATGGGATTAGATACTTAATATGTAGTTTGGTATAATAAATTAGCATTTTTCTTGCATCATAAATTTTGTGTAAAAAAGAAAAAGTACTCTCCGCACCTACTACATTCCATATGGATTGTACACCTGAAGATCAAAAGTCCTAAAAACAAAAAAATAATATCAATATTCTAAAATCTTTTGAAATGATAATGATCCAACTCAAAATGACAACAATAACAAAAACGGATAGCATATATAACTCAAAGAGAGACTAATGACATAACGAAGATGCTTATGTTCCAAACTACTTCTAAGAAAAAGTTAGGAAGCAAGTTTCCCCCACTTACCAGTTCTGTACAACTCTTGGAATGATAATGACTCTTCTCAAAATTATAGAAGGTAGATATAGAATGGATTGACTGAAACATTGTGGCAACAACAAAAGCAATATAGAGAATGAGTTCAATAGTCTGAAGAACTCTTGGAATGATAATGACTTTTCTCAAAATTATAGACGGTAGACATAGAATGGATTGACTGAAACATTGTGGTAACAACAAAAACAACACAAAGAATAGGTTCAATCATCTGAAGAACTCTTGGAATGATAATGACTTTACTCAAAATTATAGAGGGTAGGCATAGAATGGATCGACTGAAACATTGTGGCAACAACAAAAGCAATATAAAGAATGAGTTCAATAGTCTGAAGAACTCTTGGAATGATAATGACTCTTCTCAAAATTATAGAAGGTAGATATAGAATGGATTGACTGAAACATTGTGGTAACAACAAAAGCAATATAAAGAATGAGTTTAATAGTCTGAAGAACTCTTAGAATGATAATGACTTTTCTCAAAATTATAGAAGGTAGGCATAGAATAGATTGACTGAAACATTGTGGTAACAACAAAAGCAATATAAAGAATGAGTTCAATAGTCTGAAGAACTCTTGGAATGATAATGACTTTTCTCAAAATTATAGAAGGTAGGCATAGAAAAGATTGAGTGAAACATTGTGGTAACAACAAAAGCAATATAAAGAATGAATTCAATAGTCTGAAGAACTCTTGAAATTATTGCAGTTATTTGACACAGGTATTCAGAAAAGCTCCTTAACTAATCATGAAAATTTAAATCCAACCTGTGATAGCATACCTCACTTGATGTATCATTTAGTTCAGTGATATTTCTGGTTCTTATGCAATTAATATGATGTCTAAAGCCAGTTATTTGACAGGGGAGATTCAGAAACTTGACCAATCATGAAAATTTGACTTGCCACTTGCTAAATAGTAATGAAAATTATTTTGTAGGGAGGTGGGTGTCTTCAAAACATCCCATGTTATTAATGGAATGTTAAAAACAACAACTTTACTTAAACTGGTGTACAACAGTATGTCTTAGCAAAAAAACATGTTAGATACAACGGGTTCACAAATTTATATTCAATTTTAAATTGAAAGAAGAAAACTTATTCAAGTTACCGTGGTAAAATGTTGGCTGGACCAGGGTCATGCGGGCCAGGGACAAAAATAAAACGACAGGATTTGACTAAAGTGGGATATTTGGAAATTATATCAGCCAAAGTCGAAAAGCAGTCTGAAAAACATGAGAATACAGTGCATGTGAGAATTTATTGGTAAAAGAAAACCTAAAAGAGTCACAGAGTGACAATTATTGAATTTCACTGTATGATGGCAGATAAAACTTATCCAAAATTTATATTTAACAGTCTTATGGAGTAAGGTTATCTACTGGGACACATAATGAGAAAAGAAGGATTGGAGAATTTGACACTCACAGAACAGATAGTCCACAGTATTTGGGTAAGAATTATTATTCTTCTTTTATATGATACACCCCTTAAAAACATGGGTGATCATGGCTCTCCACAACTTCCTCTCTGTTGTAGCTTTTATTAAATTTTGTCTTTTTACTATCTGTCCTATTCTCAGCACCCTTTTGTAAAACCACATTTATGTTGACTCAAATCTCTTCTTCATCTGTGATTGACAGATTTGTTTTTTATGGCTTATCAACCTTTTGTTGGTTATTTAAAGCCAGAAAATATTTTTAGATTGTAAAAATTTCTGGGAGTTAATAATATTTTATTGATACAAGTCCTACTAAACCATAGCTAGAAGGGGTAGATTCATACAAGAGTATTTGTGCCTAAGTGAATAATAATGACACCAACTGGAATTGGAACTCAGTTCTCTGAGTTCCAATTCCAAGCTGTTATCGATTACACCACCTGCTCATCCAAGCTTATAGCAGCTGGTGTTCCCAAGCAGTCTCCCATCTAGGTACTGACCAGCCTTGACATTGCTCAACTTCACTGACTGTACAAAATCTGGAATATAGCTGATATATAGAAGACTGCTATATAGGAGGACTGATATTATGTAACAGTTAAGTACTCTTCCTGTTTCTTAATACATTGCTTATCTTTTGAAAGGCATCTTTTACTATCCCAATGAGCCTTTAGCTTGATTTTGACATCTCCAATTTGTAATTTGCATGTTGGGCTGTCCCTTTTTACTGACAAACATACATTTTGCCTTCTTACAATTGATGTTTGTTTTGCTTTCCTTTATTCCCTTCTGTCATAGTTTCTCTATTTTCCTTTCTGTATCTGTTATCAACATTGTGTCATCTGTATATCTAAGATTGTGGCCGACAATAAAGAGTAAGACTTCATATTTATGCATAATATTACAATATTATGGAGTTAGGTTAGGTACAGGTATTGGCATGGTAAAGTAAGGGATAATGGCTCAGATTGAGGAATCGGAGAGCCAAGTTCAAATTCCAGTCGAGTCCATTACATTCACTTACGTGCTAATACTCTTGAGAAAGGTATGAACCCTCCTCTTCTTGCCCCAGCTATGGATAAATAGCAGGACAGACTGAGTTCTATAGAATTAACTGGTAACTGGTCTACTGCAGAAAGAAATGACAACCTACTGTGGGAAAAAATCTGCCTCATCAGTCATGTATCAAAAGATACATGATTGCTTAAGTGCGTATCATGCATGGCACATAACTGACAGGTATTGGTTGTCTATGGTGTCTTGGTAAACAGTAGCCTACCAGATAACTTTGTATATAAAATGATTTTTGAAGGGAAAATAATTGCAAAGTCTCTTAGCTGCAATCAAATATGGCAATTACATAGAATTTAAACCATGTGTAATTTTTTTTTCTTTTTAAATAACTTGTGTCTGGGCCATTTATTTTTAACTAATGTTGACCCAATACAAGGCCAAGAGCCACTCAAGGTGTAGCCTTATTGAAAGTGTAAGAGGAGAAAGTAAGAAGTGCAGTTTATAGGAGTATGTAGGAAAGACTTGAACAGATTAAGAGTGTAGTGATTGGGAAAACATCCTCTCAGGAGTCTGTTCCAAAGGAGCTGTCAGAGTGTAACTTTTTTTTCTAAGGGAATACAAAGGAAATAGAAATGATTCATCCCTGTGTATATGGCTTGGCAGCTATTAGCTGTGAAAATCTGAACCAGTAAAACTAAGGAATGTAGCTTATCAGATCATTTGCCATGGAAATAGCAACAGAGTAGTGATAGACTTGTGACATTGTGACCATGGGGAAAGGGGTTGTAGGGTGGGAAATAATTTATCACCTCCTTGTTTTTGTTTTATTTTTAGAGAAAAAAATTAATTTCCACACATTTTGTTTGTTAGGTGTTGTTTGAATCACGTTCTGTGGTAAGTATAAATACAACAAATCTAGGAATATCTGTAAATATTACAGTTTTTATTTGGAGTTAAAAAAATATTTATTTGATGCCAAAAAATTCAAAAACACATCACATGGCAAAAAATTTATAAATTTGTTTGATGTTTTTTAAATTCTTTTTTTTAACATTTTTTAATTCTTTTTTTAACAATATTTTGACTTTTTTTTAAAAAAGTCAAAAATATTGTTAAAAAAAAAATTTTAAAATGTTAAAAAAAAGAATTTAAAAAATTTTAAAAAGAATTTTAAAAAAAATGTTAAAAAGAATTAAAAAAAATGTTAAAAAGAATTAAAAAAAAATGTTAAAAACGAATTTAAAAATAGTTAAACAAATAAAAAATTCATAAAATTATCAGAAAAGTAAAAAATTCATAAAATTATCAGAAAAGTAAAAAATTCATAAAATTATCAGAAAAGTAAAAATTCATAAAATTATCAGAAAAGTAAAAAATTCATAAAATTATCAGAAAAGTAAAAAATTCATAAAATTATCAGAAAAGTAAAAAATTCATAAAATTATCAGAAAAGTAAAAAATTCATAAAATTATCAGAAAAGTAAAAAATTTAAAAGCTTATTAGAAAAGTAAAAAATTTAAAAGTTTATTAGAAAAGTAAAAAATTAAAAAAATTATTTTAAAAAATTCAACAAAGGAATAATGGAATAATTAATTATGACTTATCATGATAACTCTTTATTTTATTTGAAAGTACATCTTCATTTTCAGCATTACAGTCACAATGTTTTGGTCAACACTGTAAGGCTTCAAAATTCTGCCACCTGATTGGCATAAACAGCAAGAATATATAAGTGTTCATTAATTGTATGCAGTTTGTTCATTGTAACCTGATTGCTTCATGAAATCAGTGCTTATAACACAGATTATCAAGCTGTGTGTCTTCATTTGCAAAAGAAGGAAATATGACATTGACCAAGAAAACTGCATAATGATACTAAGTGGGAAGAATTAGAGGGGGGTTGAAAAAAAAGTGGAAAAAAAAGGTTAAAAAAAAAAAAATCTCTAGAGAAAATGCAAACTAGAATTTTAAAAAAAGGATATTAATTGGAAAGAATTTGGTAATGGGTGTGGAGGGGGGGGGTGATGGAGAGTAAAAAGTGTTGTAAACAAGCAAAGGTCAGAGGTCACAAAACATCTAGAGAAAATGAAAACAGGGGATTATAAAACTGACCAAGAAGTCTACATAATGATATGAATTGGGATGAATTTGTTAAAAGGGGGGGGGGGTGATGATAAAAGCATAAACGAAAAGGTCGGAGGTCACAAAACATCTAGAGAAAATGAAAACAGGGGATTATAAAACTGATCAAAAGTTATAATGATATTAATTGGGAAGAATTTGATAAGTAAAAATTTATAAAACAAGCAAGGTCAGAGGTTAGAGAAAATGAAAACTAGGAATTTTAACACTGACCAAGAAGTCAACATAACGATATTAACTGAGAGGAATTTGATAATGGGAGGGGTGTAAATTATCAAAGGTAAAAATCGAAATAAAATGAAAATGAAAATGATATCAAGTCAAAAGAATTTGGGAGTGGAGAAGATGGGCATAATAGAGCAAAATTAGGAAAAACAACAATTTTAGACAAAATTAAAAGAAAAACAGTTAAAAAAACATACACACATATATTCCATTTAAATAAGGAGTATTTAGGCAACGAGGATTCTTATAAGTTTTGTTGAACATTATCAATATATTCAGCAAGTAAACTGAAGATTTAATCTTGTATCTAACACGTAAATCTTTTCAATAAACTTGCTAAATATTCACGAGGGTTCTTAATTTTGTAAATTTTGAGTAAATGTCAAATATATATACAGTGCTGTTCGATAAAAGTGACTCACCTGATTTTTTTTTACTAAAAATATTTTTGTCTATTGTCTTGGGGATTAAAAAATTTTAATCTTTACTAATATAAAGACCCCTTCCTGGCCAAAAAGGAAAAAAAGGTTTATTCACCCTAAGGTATTCTATTGATAATTATAAATTTGGATATAAATAGATTCAGGAAAAAAACACTGTGCAAAAAAAGTGACTCAGATATCGATTCTAATGATTAAACTGGTAAATTTAAAAAAGCTTTTGACAAAATATTGAAAACTATTTTACAATACACTCAGAACAATATTTTAGAGAATTCTAGAACAGCTTAAATTAAATCTAGAGTAATTCAGAATATTCCAGAAAGCCTCATACAGTATAAAAACAGCTTGAAATAGCCACTCAAGTCACTAACCAGATGAAAGGGTATAAACACGTATCAGAACCACTTAAGGCATCTATTATTTCCCTCTCAAAAGCAGGCAAGTCTATGAGAGCAATTGCAAAAATTGCTCTCATCTTGCATTCAACTGTCTCTCGAGTACTTAGGGCACATAATGATGCTACTCCTGTTCAAAGGAATGAAACAAGGGGACGAAAGAAAAAGATTGATGATAGAACTGGCAGGGTAATCAAGAGAGAAGTTGCAAAGAATAGGACTATAACTAGCCAAGAAATTGCAGCCAGTCAAGTTGTTAGTCTTGCCTCTTCAACAGTCCGTCAGTCAGAACAAGGTTACAAATCTATAATAAGCAAAGCCAACAAAGCCAAAAGACTTGAATGGGCCACCGTGAAGACTGGAAGAATGTTCTCTTCTCTGATGAAACGAAAGTTGAGCTAAATTCAAAGGATAAGGAGAGTCCTTTTATCGAACAGCACTGTACTTGTTGCAAAATATAACTATCAGATTTGCCTTGATAAAGTTTATTGAATGACGAAACAATTTGACTAAACTATCAGTCAGTTATGTGCCATGCGTGATACACGCTTAGGCAAATCACATA